CGAGACGAGAGCCTGTTGCATATAACCACAAATCCTTGCTGCTGACAACGGCGATACCACACTAGCCATGAGACTCAGTGTATTGTTATCGTCATCCAACGACAAAGTAATTGGGTAATTTGTTCGTCCTTCATTACTGACAATATTCACTCCAGCGGGTGGTTCGATGGCATGCTCTGTCTGCGATTTATGGCGATAGTTTAGCAATGAGTTGAAAAGAGGTATAGAAGACGGCACTCCACTACAGCGTTGCGCTAACGCCAATGATGCATATTCGTGAGACAGTAAAGCACTCAAACGCGAATGAGCGTTGCGTACAGAACTTTCGACTGTAGTATCATCGACATCCAGCCGTATAGGTAGCGTGTTAATCATCATACCCATAGCACTCTCATTTTCTTCTGCGGACTGTAATCGACCAAGTAGCACAGTACCGAATACGACTGTTTCATTTTCGCTAGCACAGGCAAGTACCTGTGCCCAGGCCAAATGACAAAGACTGGCTAAACTTACATGGAAATGACGCGTAAGTGCTCGCAATTGATTATTCAGCTCCTGTGATAGCTTCAATTGCTCACGATCGATCTCAATTCCGTTGTCATGAACGGCGCTCAGACCAAATGATAGGGTTGGTTTATCAATATCCGAAAGCATTTCTCTAAAAAACTGCATGTGTTCGGCTTGGCTAACACCTAGACGAGCTTGAGCCACTACATGGCGGAATGGTGTGGGTTTGGCCAACTGAGAACTCTGCCCATTGATAATGGTTTGCACTTCTACATTCACTCTTTCTAGTGTTGTGTGGTCTATAATTATATGGTGCATGAGAATCACTGCCACCCATTTCTCTTCGGACGTTTGAGCAGCAAACATACGCAGCAAAGGTGCATGGGTCAGGTCTAGTTTGTAATGACGTGGATTGAAGCGGTTCTTTAATTGTTCCAGAGCCGACTCTTTGGTTTCGTCTAGTATGACTTCGGTGAGTATCGAAGGAGCTCGACGCAAAACAATTTGTGCCGGTTCACTGAGTCCTTCCCAGATGAAAACGGTACGCAGAATATCGTGTCGTTCAATCACTTGTTGCAAAGCGGCTACATAACGTTCAAGTACATTTCGGTCACTAAATTGTAGACGGCTAACTAAAAAATACGGATCGCCATGCTCAGCCATCGCATGATGAAACAAGATGCCTTCTTGTAATGGTGCCAACCCATAAATATCTTGAATATTGACTATACCACCCGGTACCTGTGCTACTAGAAAATCAATCTCCGATTGAGATAGGCTAACAAGTGGTAACATATCCGGAGTAATCTTCGTGCTGTCTTCAGAGATCAGATTGGGTGGAATACTGAACAAATGGTGTTTGCTGAGAGTCTCAGCTAGTGCAGCTAATGAGGGAGCATCAAATATTTTCTTGACACTAGAATCAAATCCGGCCTTTCGTAATTGTGCTAGCATTCGTACAATCAACAAAGAATGCCCACCCAACGCAAAGAAATTGTCATTTCGACTGATTCGATCAATACCCAACAGTTCACTCCATATTGCAGCCAGTTTTTCTTCCATTTCTCCCCGCGGTTCTTCATATAGTTGACGGGGAAATGCTTCATGGTGCGGTGCTGGAAGTGCACGTCTATTCAATTTGCCATTTGGTGTGAGTGGTAATGATGATAGACACACATATG